AAAAACTGCCCCACTCTTTTTTTTTTTTTTTTTTTTTTGAGACAGAGTCTCACTCTGTTGCCCCGGCTAGAGTGCCGTGGCGTCAGCCTAGCTCACAGCAACCTCAAACTCCCTGGCGCTTAGGCAATCCTTCCTGCCTCAGCCTCCGCGATAGCTAGGATCACATGCATGTGCCACCATGCCAGGCTAATTTTTTCTATATATATTTTTATTATTATTATTATTATTATTTTTTTTTTTTGTTTGAGACAGAGTCTCGCTGTGTTGGCCAGGCTAGATGAGTGCTGTGGCGTCGAGCCTAGGCTCACAGAGCAAACCTCAACTGCCTGGCTTCAAGCAGATCCTTTACTGCCTCACCCCCCGAGTAGCGGGACTACAGGGCATGCGCCACCATGTGCGCTCCGCGGTAATCTTTATATATATATATTAGTTGGGCCAATTAAGTTTCTTTGCTATTTTTATAGTAGGAGACAGGTCTCGCTCAGCGCTGGTTTGAAGCTCCTGCCTTGACAATCCGCCCGCCTCGGCCTCGCCAGAGGCCCGTAGATTAGCAAGCGTCGAGCCCACCACGCCCGCCTATATTTTAATATTTTTAGTTGGCCAATTAATTTGTTTCTATTTTTAGTAGAGACGGGGTCTTGCTCTTGCTCAGGCTGGTTTCAAACTCCTGACCTCAAGCGATCCGCCTGCCCTGGCCTCCAGAGTGCTAGGATTACAGGCGTGAGCCATGCACCTGGCCCCCACTCTTAATATTATTGACAATAGTCATTAATATCATCAATTATTACACTTTTGCTTCAGAGCCAGGTGCTTTACTCACATTCTGTCTAATCTTTACAACAGCCCCACAGAGAAGATCCTAGTTTTCCTACTTTTCAGAGGCTCAGAAAGGTTAAGCTATTTTCCCAAGGCCCCACAGCAAGACCACAGCCCAGGCCTGTCCAACTGCCAAGCTTGGGCTCTTCTAGGACACCATGCTTCCTCAAAGGGAGTGGTAGTTCCTTCTCCCCTTGAGAAAGAGTGAATAATGGTAATGGAGGGATAAGAATGTCTGAGCTGGATGGTGGGCCCTTACCTATATATCAGAAATGCAAGCACCATAGCCATCAACACCAGCAAGACGCTCACAAAGAGGGGAACCTGCCATGGTCTGCTTCTTGACCTGTGAACAGAATCGAGATACTGTATTAGTCAGTGTCTGTGCTCTTGCTAGCTGGCTCTGCCCACGCCCCTTCTTCACCCTAGCTCTTGTCCAAGTACCTACCTGGCATGACAAGCTGGGTGCTGACCATTGCAAGCTGTTGGCATCAACTAAAGACACATTGAGGCAGTAGGTCCCTGAGCCACCCTTCCAGTTCTTGGTGCAGGACCAGCTCACAGGCTGGGCTGGGTGGCACAGGCTGGCACAGCCGCTGGGCAGGAGGCTGGCACCCTGGTGATGAGATGTCCATACAGGCTTCCTTGGGCAGCCTAAAAGAGGTATCAGCTTATATTGGGAGATCTGGGAAGGACACTGGATACCAGGAACCAGTCAACAGTCAACCCAAGAGTTACCAGGGCAACCAGTGGTACACTCACCCGCCTTGGCAGGCCACAGTCAGCTCAAATGCATCCCTTCACTGGATGGCACAGCCTGCAGGATCTTCAGCATTTTCAATACCTTCTGCAGAGTTGCATGATTATAAGTTGGGATTCCTCTACCACGCTCCCTAAAAGCCATAGACAGAAAGCCTAGGGCTGTTGTCAGCCAAAAAAAAGATATGGCTCTGAAGGGATTCAAGGTGAAGTATAGGAAATAGACATGTACATAAATTAATATAATTCAAGACACTGTTTAATATGTGCCGTAACAGACATACATGTAGTACAACAGAATAACAGATTAAATAGATTCATTCCATTCCATTCTAGCTGATTGGGAAAGACTTCAATGGGAGTTACTCAAGGACCAGCATGAGCAAATGCATGGAGACGTGAAAGGACATGGCTTGTTAGGGGCATTCTAACAGTGTGGTTGATGTACACTGTGAGAAATGAGGCTGAGAAGATGGGTTGGGAACTTTGAGTGCCAGGCTAAGTATCCTGTAAGGCAAGGCCACCTCTGATAGTTTATTGTTTCATTTTGTTTTAAATTGACCTATAATTCACATACCACAAAATTTACTCATCAGAAGCTTTTGAATATGATCAAATTTATGTTTTAGAAAGATCACCACGGCAAGCAGTGAGGAGGATGGATTAGAAGCAGGCAGAGATTGAGGATGAGGATGGAGAAGCCAAAATTATTAACTGAACCGAGAGAAGTCTAAGGGGAAAACAAGGATATGACGACCTCCATATGCCCTCACCCAGATCCAAAAATTATCAATATTTTTCCTGGGAAACCAAGGCGGGCGGATTGCTCGAGGTCAGGAGTTCGAAACCAGCCTGAGCAAGAGCAAGACCCTGTCTCTACTAAAAGTAGAAACAAATTAATTGGCCAACTAAAAATATATAGAAAAAATTAGCCAGGCATGGTGGTGCATGCCTGTGGTCCCAGCTACTCGGGAGGCTGAAGCAGAAGGATTGCCTGAGCCCAGGAGTTTGAGGTTGCTGTGAGCTAGGCTGATGCCACGGCACTCTAGCCTGGGCAACAGAGTGAGACTCTGTCTCAAAAAAATAATAATAATAAAATAAATAAATAATAACATTTTGCCACATTTGCTTTATATATCCTTATTGGTTGTTGCTTTTGGTTTTAGGGGTAGGCAGTAGAGTTGGCTAAAGTATTTAGAAACAAATCCCTGACATCTTATTTATTTATTTATTCTTATTTTTTGAGACAGAGTCTCACTCTGTTGCCGAGTAGAGTGCCATGTATCAGCCTAGCTCTCAGCAACCTCAAACTCCTGGGCTCAAGCAATCCTCTTGCCTCGGTCTCCCGAGTAGTGCTCAGCTAATTTTTCTATTTTTAGGAGAGATGGGGTCTCCCTCTTGCTCAGGCTGGTCTTCAACTCCTGAGCTCAAGCAATCCTCCTACCTCAGCCTCCCTGAGTGCTAGGATTATAGGCATGAGCCACTGTACCCGGCCCATCTTGTTATTTTAACCCTACAAATTCAGCATGTATCTGTAAAAAATATGAATATTTTCTTGCATAAGCACCATGTCATTTCACACTAGACAAAATTATCAAACTCAGTCCATATAAAATTGCATCAGCTTCTAGAAAAATGTCTTCTTGGCCCACAGATTGAAAGTGCCTCATCTGAATAAAATGACTTTCTTTTTCCATTGGGATGTCTGTTAAGTAAGTGATACACTTCCTTCTTTTACACTTTCACTCCTTAAATGACATAGATTTCCTGAGAAGGAAGAAAAAACAAAACAAAGAAACCAAGACTAGGTTCTGAGTATTTATTTCAGTTATGGAGTCTCCAAGGAAGACTGGAGAAAATAAAGATGTTGCTGTAACCCCAGGAAAATCATGGTATCAGATGAGAGTACTCAGACCTCCTGCCCACTGAGGAGTGGGCTGTTCTCACCAACGGGGCAAGTGCGAAAGACCCTGGGCAGACGCAGCCAATGGGTGCTACTGTGAGGCAGCTGGGGAATGGGGAGCGCTGAGCCCTGCTTTATAAGTCTGCGCCTGATATTGGGAGAAGAAGAGGGAAGCTGGTTAGCAAAGGACAAAGGCAGCCTGTCTGTTCTCCTCCAAAGAAGAGGACATACCCCTATTCCAAGTCTGCTTGGCCTTGATCCTAGCTCCCTTCCCTTCTACTTACCTCCAGGGTTTATTCTCTTTTGTCTGGTAACCTCTGTCCATTCCCCTCTCACCATAGAACCTCCCCTGCTTTGAGGATATTGGTGCCCCAGGGCTGGGGATCTGCCCTTCTTGCAGGTAGAGAACTCAGTTCACCCAAACTGCCCCACTCTTTTTTTTTTTTTTTTTTTTTGAGACAGAGTCTCACTCTGTTGCCCCGGCTAGAGTGCCGTGGCGTCAGCCTAGCTCATAGCAACCTCAAACTCCTGGGCTTAGGCAATCCTTCTGCCTCAGCCTCCCGAGTAGCTAGGACTACATGCATGTGCCACCATGCCAGGCTAATTTTTTCTATATATATTTTTATTATTAATATTATTTTATTTTTTTTTTTTTTGTTTGAGACAGAGTCTCGCTTGTTGCCCAGGCTGGAGTGAGTGCCTGTGGCGTCGAGCCTAGCTCACAGGCAACCTCAACTCCTGGGCTCAAGCAATCCTTACTGCCTCAGCCCCCCGAGTAGCTGGGACTACAGGCATGCGCCACCATGGCGCCCGACTAATCTTATATATATATATTAGTTGGCCAATTAATTTCTTTTGTTTTTATAGTAGAGACAGGGTCTCGCTCAGGCTGGTTTTGAACTCCTGACCTTGAGCAATCCGCCCGCCTCGGGCCTCCCAGATTGGTAGATTACAAGCGTGAGCCACCACGCCGCCTA